GGATACCTTCTTTCCTAGATTTGCGCGAAGTTTCCTTTACGAACGCTGTTTCTGTTAAAGGATTTTTGTACGACTAAATTTTTGCTGGACGACGTCTTTCCAGCAAGCATGCAAAATTCCTCTACAGGCAGCTTTGATAATGGAGGATGTTTCCAGTTCTTACCTTTATGAAAATTTTGTTAGTTTCTAACTGCGACTTAGAAAACGATTATTGCTGACTTTTAGTAATGCGATTTGAAACAAGGCTTCAATACGTCGGTCAATGCGAGCGATTATCCTTCTCCATATTGCGACTGGCTTTGCAATTGTTGCTGTAATTGGACATGGCTTTGTTGCTATACAGTACATTTTCTTCCGGTGAGTCTGTGCTCATGTGATGTTTAATTCTAAATTCCAAGATAGAAAAAATGCTCAACTGCATTAACTGTTTTATCTTATTGAAATTTGTTAAGTAACTGAGGAATTTGGTAAAATATATAAGCAACCTAGTGCAAGTTTTAATAATCTGTCTGGATCTAAATTTTTTCTTCTGCAAGCCAGCTTAAACTTAATTGTTTTCAACGAATCAGAAGCCTTACCCAAAATCATTTGAGTATTTTGGGCATGATGCTAACCTTAGGAGGGTTTCAGGTCACTGTTACTCGCTTCAATTGTAGTAATTCATTAACACTATGCACACAAACACGGAGTAACTCTTAGCTTGCAGAATCAACTTATAAACTTAACAAAACTACACATCACCGGAAGTCCGACAGATCGGATTCGTCGCTTAGATGCATATCATAAGTAAGATCTCATCTATCGGGCTGACAATTTGTGTGGGTATGCATTTTAGTCAGAAAAATCGTTGACTATCCCATGCGGTGCCTGAGTGTTTCAACTTCAAAATATTTTTTATTTTCTAAATGTTCTAGCCTCTTAAAATAAAATAATATCCCAGGACGTTTTTAAGAAAATAATTATTGCTAAAATGCGATCCCAGGGCGCAACGTTGGGCATTTTTTATCATCTGATCTTAAATTTTTAGTTGCTTCATACTCTGCTGCACGAAGTCTTATACAGAAAGATTGTCTCAACTTTCTCCCTTAAAGTAACCTTACGGAATTTACTAAAACACGTTTCTTGAAGGGGTTAAAAGTTCAATTGTTATAACTCTCAGGAAAGTTTTTTAGGGTATTTTTCAATTAACTATTTTGCAATTCTTTGTGGCCAAATCTGTTGGGATGCGCTGTAGATGGGCGGGGTAACTGTTGTTTTTGGAGCTTAAAAGGCCAAGTTTCAAAGCTAATTTAGTTGTGGAGTCTAATCTCAGCATATTCATGCAACTTGACTCCAACCGATCACTGGCACTTGCTTTGAGTGGGAAGTATGCATGAATTTGGCTGTAAGGTAATTCTCGGCAGGCTATCCAGTACTTAGATTCCCGATACTCAAAAATCTTGGGTTGGCTTGAATGGTAGAACTGAGAATTAGTTCGCACTAACCCTTTTATGTAGCAGCGTACTTCAACCAGAATTCTGATACGCGTTTCTTTACGGCCACTTTGTGTGCATTTAGGGACCATCGCTAACGAACCCGTACTTAGTGACTTAATTTCCCCAGTCATGGTGAGCATACCCATCCCCACTACTTATGACTTTGCCTTGCCAATCGAACTCAGCTAGCGTTTGACGTTAAACGTTCATATTCCCAAAACGTAGAATTTTATTGTTAACTGTCTGCGAGAAGTTGCCCCACTTTACTAGTCTCTCCTTCTTGAAGCGGAATAAAGACCTGAATGGCACGTTATAAATTGACACAATTTTGTCATGACCATGAATAAATATTTTTGTCCTGGGCGGTCGTATTTTTTCTTCCTGGTTTGAGACATCAGTCAAGCACGCACACAGCTAGCCTACTGAGTAAAGGTCCGCTCATGAGGCCTATATATCACACGAATCTCCTACACTGTAAACCAGTTTGCACTCAAGTTACCGCCACGTCCTAGGGACCGTTTGGGTCCTCACTGCGGGTGACTGGGTCTAACTATCAGCAGTGGGCACACGTGTGTTGAATACAGGATTATTTGCTCCTGGCTTGTTTACACCACGCTACGCTTGAATATTTCATATGCTGGTTGTACCAGACGTTGCCGGTTTGAAGTTAGAATTGCATGAGCCTAGAAGCATCGTACAATACTGTCACACTGTATGCAATGCCAATCCCAGTGGTTATGCACTCCATGATCTGATGCTAAAATTTTCGGGAACCGGGAACAAGTAGGTTTGGAGTGCTTCAACCAAAAGAAACTGTTAATGTTTCAATTAAGGTATAACCTGGGTATTCTGCACCCGGTCTTTTCCGTGCCCTAACGAACGAAAATATCTGTCAGTTGATCAGCGTATGAAGTGAACTTGTAGCGAGTGGTAAATAGGAAGACTCGTAATTAATTTTTCTACGTTTCCAGTTGTTAATGAGCAAAGTACTTGTATAGTCCCTTGTAAAAATACCTCTTTCATAAACACACTCCACCTCGAGATCGATAAAACGATGATTTTTTTTCCATCCTGTAGGTTTAGTGAGGAAGCCGGATTGCCAGTAAATGCAACGGGAGTCAGTCCGTGTGAAAATGATAACAGGCAAGTTGCCTTCTAAAATATGCCTCCACTAATATCAATTCGCGCAATTCTTTATAAAACACAAAGCAATCAAAGTTACTGTCATGCGGTTCTTTTTAGAAAGGGGGACGAAGCAAGTCTTCAATTGCTCTGTTTTACTTTTCGGGTTGTTCCGCTACTATATGTTTTCCATTTACTCAGTGTAAAGTGCAGCTAGTTATTTACATATTTCCAGAACACAATATAGTATGCGCTATATTGATTATCCTTCGGTGTACATTTTGTTCGCGTGGAAGCTTGGGTGGAAGTTAACTATAGCCCAATGGACGGACATCAATGAATACACGAAACTAGAGCTGTAGGTTATTTTGATAAAATATTTTCTCCTACGGTTTGCCGAACGAGTTCATAGGCACGTAGCACGGAGAGGATCTGCCAGGAGTCATAGGGGACTCTTTCGAATTTATGTACTTCGTACAATTTTAGTGAAGGTCCGACCTGTATTTGCATTTGTCAATCCGTCACAACCTTCTTTAAAGCTCAGTCTACTTTGGTGGATGAAAGCTCACCGATTGGTTACAGGACTCACTCGTCCTGCTTTGACTTTGGCCTCAGTCTCGAGCCCTATCAGTAGCCTCGAAAAATATTGCAGGTAGACGAACATTGCCGATAAAGAAAAAGGGCGACTTGAATTACCGCTTCTGGTTTATTGGCCATCATTAGCCAGCCACACTCAACCCCAGATTGTGAACCATCCGAAACTCAAACTTGCAACCTGTCGACTAGAAGTCCAAGGCTCTAACCATTGAGCCACGGGCTCGTTGTCTTGCCGGTTTTAGATCGGGAATAAGTAGCATTCATTGATGAATGTTAATCGATTGTTAACAGAAATCACTTGTACCATTCTACCTTTGGGCTCACCCTCGAGTCCTGCCAGTAGCCGCGCAGCCGCGCAGCAACTAGTATTGTAAGCAAATGAACGTTTCCGAAAAAGGCAACAAGCTTCAAGCCTAGGATAGTGCGTCACCTGGGGTTGGGTATGGTTGGCTAATGATGGCTAATAAGCCAGAAATAGCCTTCCCTTGTCTTCGTCGGGAATGCTTATCTGACTCAATCTATTGTCCACAGCAGAAATGAGAACCAGGTAATTACGCTAAGTTCTATGCACAGTGAGGTTTAAATAAAATTACACAGCGCAGAAAACTACAGGAGGCTAAAAGTCGACTTTCTATTATGCCACCCAAACAACTCAATTTACGGCACAATGCCCGCCTTCATTTTTCTTGTGTCCTTGACCGTCAATAATCGGTCTTAACAAATGCCCCCCAGTCATATCATCAGCAACTATATAGATTAGTAGTACCAAGGGTGCCGTAAACTTATTCACCCACTCATACTTTTAAATAACTGGTTTATTCGGAGGGTATCGTACAAAAGTTTACAGTTAGCGATACTACAATTTCGAATATGTTTGTTTCTGTTAGAAGAAAGCTTTGTGAACTTTCAATCTGATCGCAGTAGAGGCCTGTAGGTGGCCTTGACTCAAATGTATGCAACATATTTTTGCCTGAAGCAGTTTGCCGTCTCTGCACGTCTATGTGTAACTCATAAAGGCATGGTAAAAATCGAGCTATTACTTAATAACTTTTCGTTTACCAGTAAGATGACAGTCTGGTGGATAGGGTTGAGATGAC